TTTTGGTAAGATACTTGTACTTTTACTCAAGTATCACTTTGTGGTACTTTATACAACACTGGCCAAAATGAGAGCAAGCAGAGATGATGAGGATTTATGGACTGGTACCTGATCTGACACAAAACTGAAAGATTTTGGGAAGTGGTGGAGGGTGGGCTCGGGCAAAAGCTGACACTGAGTAGGCACGAGGGGGAGACCCTTCCCGATGGGCGGTGCCTGGCGGTTCTGTGTTGGTTTGCAGTGGGAAGGGTGGTGTTGAGGATTCAGACAGGGTGGATGAGGAAATGCCAGAGGACTTTCTCCTGTCTATTTCTGAGTTTACTGAGTGAAACAGAAAAGGTGAGGCAGTGAAAGGAAAGGAGAAAAACAGGAAAAGGGTCATTAATGAGGAAGAGCCAGGAGTTAGGCAGAAATCAGAAAGACAGCAGAAAGAAKATGAACAGCTGACAATTTGTTTTGTGTCAATAATAATCAGGTCTAAAAGTGAATAAAGTCTCACATCCTGAACTGTTTCAGTAAAGAAACTAAAACCTATTTTAAGAAAAAGGAACAGCAAAGAGGAAGATTAAAAAACAGAGAAGTGAAAGTGAAAATGAGTTCAACTAACTAAAAAAGGAAGCAAAACGGTTAAAGAAAAAAAGGCTGAGTAGCTTACACTGAACACTGCCAGAAAAGTCAGGTAACCATCAGTTTTCAACCCACAGAAAAGAAGCTTCATTTGTTGCAGTGCATACATAAAGCTTCAACAGAAATGAYCAAACACCTGGAAAAGCAACCCCAGATTCATTTAATGCTGTTTCTGAAATCATGTAGAAGCCTGGTCTCTGTTAAAGTAGCACCCTGAATGGTTCARCAGCACATAAAATTATTCTACCTACACCCAGTACTGTATGCACTTTTCCATGGTTTTATTTTGAGCAGGTGCTATTTTTACAGACCTGACGTCCACATGTATGTGGATAAACACGCATACAATGCAAGGTTTTGGGCCTTAGACCTGAAAAATGAGTGAGATYCACTTTTATTTCAGTCATATTATGACACAATGTAGACAGGACTAATGTATTCATTTGCAAAAGTCATTTCTCATAGGAAATATGAAATCAAGATGTTCTTAGGACACTGTTATAAGTTAGGGAGTTGTTATAGGGGAGTGGTGGCGCAGAAGAAAGTGAAACTGTAATCAGAAGGTCGTTGGGTCAATTTCCCATACTAATGAGGAAAACTCCTCATTTGAACCACTTTGGCTCCTTGAGCAAGGCCCTCAAGCCCCCTGCTGCTCCCCAGAAGCCTTAAAGGGAACCATGTTTAGTTGAACATTAGACTTTATTTGATTTAAAAAATTATTTTAACTGTAAAATAAAAGACTGTAAAAATACTGTAGGCTGTTTCAGTTTTGTAAATTTTTAAAAATATATTTTTAACACGGACAGAGCCATTTTATTTACACACAAAGCATTCTGGGTAAATGATGACGTGGATAGGTCCTCGCAGCCAGCGGGCTATATCCACCCTGAAGATTAATCTTGGACAATATCTGACGATCAGCCCACAAACACACCCACAGAGTGAGGGACAGACACACACACACACACACACACACACACACACACACCTGAGGAGAACCAAACAGACCTGAACTGAACAGAGTGAGGCTTGATAATGGAGACAGGGCTATGGTATGTTGAAAGTACTCCAGTAAGTACCCTGTAGGTACAACATGTATACCAAGTCATTAAAAGGTACATGCACTGGAAGTACTTGGCAGTATTTTGCTACATGAGAAGCACGTTTAGGTTTCTTGGTAGTTTTGTAATTGATGTGTAAATTATTACTGAGTGAAGATTCACATGCTATCACTAGCTAATGCTAGTTAGCCTTGTGAGCTTGATAAATATAAAAAACCTTCCTCCCATAACTGGTTGCATTTTTACTTTTTAATAATAGTCTTACCAATAAAATTACATTTAGCTGCTTTAATTGTACCCCAGAATAATTGATTTTATTGTTTTGAGATTTATTTTCTTTAACAAGAAGAATCCAGTTAGATAAGACCGAGCAGACTGGGGTAAAACCTGTTTTATTATCCTTTTAACACCTCTGTTGTATATTTTGTCTAACAGTATCACAGCTTTTATTAAACGTGTGCCTTTAGGTATTCAATGTTACCAGTAACATGAGTCGTCTGTCCTGTTCCAAAGCTGAACCGTCTCTCTTCACCGTCTTCTTCGTCACTGTCAAAGTCATCCAGATTGCCGATGTCGCTCTGTTTCATACTCATCAAACTGGCCAAACTCTGCATGTCCTCGTCCCTGTGAAAGAACACACACACAATCCTTACAAATCACAGGTTCAGGGAGGACAAACCGGCCATCAGCTGGAACGAGCAGCTTTTCTGTGCTTTCACTGACATGTTTAAAAGAGGGACAGTGTTTGTAATGTGAAACTGTTTCTAGATGTTACTGCAGAGGCTTGATGAAGTCTTTAGCCCTTGAACATGTGTACATTTGTCACATTATAACAATAAACTTCAAAATACGGTACTTTATGTCACAAAGTAGAGCATAACTAGGAATGAAATGAAAAAAAATCTGTGGATTTCCAAATCCTTTCAAACATACAAATCTGAAAAGTGTGGCTGCATTTAGACTCAATCCTCTGCAGAAGAACCTTTCACTGCAGGGTTTTCTCTCCAGCTTTACACAGACACAGACTGAGTTTCTGTTCGTTTTTATAAACCAGCTGCAGCTCAGTCAGAGCGTCTGAACAGGTCCTACAGGTTCTCAGTTGGATTCAGGTGTGGACTTGAACTGGACCATTCTGACCCACTCCACTGTAGATATGTCTGGATGTTTCAGTGGTTCTGCTGGAAGGTGGACCTCTGTCCCAGACTCAGGTCTTYTGCAGCCTCTAACAGGTTTTCTTCTAAGACTGCTGTGGGTTTAGCTCCATCCATCATCCCATCAGCTCTGAGCWGCTTCTGTGTTCCTGCTGAAGAACATCAGCCCACAGCATGATGCTGCCTCCACCGTGTATCACTGTGAGGACGGTGTGTTCAGGTGATGAGCAGTGACAGGTTGGTTTGATGTAAGCAGCTTCTCTCACAGGTTTGTTGTGGTTTTGTATGACTTGTGTCAAACACTTTTTTCAGCACTGGGTTTTTTCCTGCCATTTTTTCATAGATAAATAAACTATATGTTAAAATAATAGTGCTGTGGACAGATTGTTCCATCTGAGCTGTGGAGGAGTCATACTGGAACCAGTAGATTGCCGGTTCAATCCCCCCATTGTTGCTGAATTCTTTCATTCTTGCTTGATGAACAACATCAGTTGCTCTACAGTCCAGACTCTCTTCATAATGCTGCACAAATTTTCAGTGGGAGACAGGTGTGGACTGCAGGACAGTCTAGTTCCTGCTCTCTTTTACTCTGAAGCCATGCTGTAGTGCACTAACCTGTGCAGAATGYGTCTTCGTTCATTGTCTTGCTGAAACCAGCAGGACGTCCCTGAAAAGGACGTCTTTAATGGCAGCATGTTGCTCCAAGACCTGAATGTAGCTTTCAGAATCAATGGTGCCTTCATAGATGTGACAGTTACCCACTAATACACCCCCATACCATCAGAGAGGCTGGATAATACACCTCCATACCATCAGAGAGGCTGGCTAATACACCCCCATACCATCAGAGAGGCTGGATAATAAACCTCCATACCATCAGAGAGGCTGGCTAATACACCTCCATACCATCAGAGAGGCTGGATAATGCACCTCCACACCATCAGAGAGGCTGGCTTCTGAACTTTGTGTTGATAACAATCCAGACAGTCCTTTTCCTCTTTGTCCCAGAGGACACCACATCCATAATTTCCAACAACAATTAGAAATGTGGACTCTTCAGACCACAGGACACTTTTCCACGTTGTGTCAGTCCGTCTCAGATGATTGGGTCCAGAGAAGCTGGCGGTGCTCCTGGGTGTTGTTTATATCTGGTTTTGTATTTGTGTGATAGAGCTTTAACTTGTAGCTGTAGAGATGAACTGTGTTCACTGACGATGGTTTTCTGAGGTCTTCCTGAGCCCATGTGTTAATATCTGTTACAGAATGATGTGGGTTTTAATGCAGTGCTGCCTGAGGGGTCAAAGGTCACCAACATTCAGTGTTGGTTTTCAGCCTTGCTGCTGACTTGCAGAGATTTATCCAAATTCTATGAATCTTTTGACGATTTTATTGACTGTAGATGATGAAATCACTAAATTCTTTGCAATTGTATGATGAGAAATGTTGTTCTTAAACTATTTCTCACACAGTTGTTCCCAAAGTGGTGAATGTCTCTCCGTCATTGCTTATAAACAACTGAGCCTTTCTGGGATGCTCCCTTTATACCCAATCATGACACACACCTGTTTTCATTTAACCTGTTCACCTGTGGAATGATCCAAACAGATGTTTTTTTGAGGATTCCTCCACTTCCCCAGTCTTTAGTTKCTCCTGTTCCAGCTTTATTGGAACCAGGGGTGGAAATTAGCACCCACCACTGGCCAAATGCGGGTAAAATTATGAAGTGGCATGTAGATCTGAACAACACACCCGCCACCGTGGCGGGTGTGTAATGAACTAAAAAAAATTGCGTTCAAATCGCGCTACTGACCTTTGTCAAAACCTCAGTTTCATTTTTATTCTGCATTTCAGAGCCTGTAGGACATTAAAAAACATTAAATAACATCATCTTCCAACCCGCTCTGCAGCTAGAAATAAATTCTCCCCTCCTCCTTTCCTGCGCGCTGTCAACTGTGTGGCACAAACAATTTAATTAGGCCACCAAAGAAAACAAATTGTCTAAATGCCACCGTGTTACAGAAACTAACAAAAAAAAAATAGTGGCTGGTAAAAAGTTTGAGTGGCTGGTACAAAACTTTTTCTACCAGCCACTGTGGCTGGTGAGGAAAATTTTTAATTTCCACCCAATTGGAATGTGTTGCAGCATCACGTTTGAAGTGAGTGAATACTGTATTTGCAAAAATATATACCATAAATAAATACTTTTTATTTGTTTGAACATTAAATACCTCGTCTTTGTAGGGTATTCAACTGAAAATAAGTTGAAAGGGTTTTGTAAATCATGTTATTCAGTTTTTATTTATGTCCCAACTTCATTTGAAGTGGGGTTCTTCAGTGATATGCAAGATAAACTGTACTGTGATTWCTGTACTTACGTAGCTTTGCCCTCCTTGAGAAAGATACAGGACAGATTCAGTTTGAGTGTGGCTTCCACCACTTTCACAGACAGGGGTTTGAACTTCAGTGTGATGTCATACTGGGCTGGTGTGGAACTAGCATAATTCTTCATATTAACATCAGCTGATGCTAAAACTTTCCTTCGGCCTTTTGTTTCCTGAAGGGAAAATAATGGACAAGGACATTAAGTCTGCATGGTAGCATAGCTAATGAAATAAACAGATGAGTCAGAACACAGGCCATTCACAGACGGACAAATCAGGTTGTCTCATAACACTGGCACATGTTCTTTCAAAGAACCTTTCAATGGTTAGGTTTGTAAATAATTTTGACATTGAAGTGTTAAGTAGACGATGTAAAGACAAAATTTTTTAAAAAYGTAAGACCACAAGAAACTTAGGAGAACAGGCGTTAGACATAGTAAATGTATATTTTAAAGTGAACCTGTGATTTTGAAATTATTTAAACCCTTCAGTTGAAGTCTATATATAGTGAAATGTGCCGTGCTTTGGTCTGAATTCTTCCTTATTGTAACTCCACAAGCCCCGCCCCTTTTCTGGGGTGTGTCCCAGATCAACTCATGTTGAGGCTGTCTCTTTAAATCAAACAAGGCACTTTAAACCCCGCCCCCTCCAGCTTCCAGGCTGGTTCATTCTAGTTTGATAGAGGGGTTTACGAATATTCACAGCTGTGGCAGAGTGGTYAGGGGAGTTTTCCTGGAACTAGTAGGTTATCGGTTCAATCTCCCGTTCCAGCTGTCTCAGTTGTTGTGTCCTTGGGCATTGCTCTGATGTATGTCCCATCAGTGTATGAATGTGATTGGCACTGATTAGTCTTCATAGTTGATTTGTATGTGTTATCACTGCAGAGACCTAGTAGAGTGCTGTGTGACTGTAGAGAGACTGTAGAGTGCTGTGTGGCTGTAGAGTGCTGTGTGGCTGTAGAGTGCTGTGTGGCTGTAGAGTGCTGTGTGGCTGTAGAGAGACTGTAGAGTATGTAGAGTGCCGAGTGACTGTAGAGTCTGTAGAGTGCAGTGTGACTGTAGAGTGCAGTGTGACTGTAGAGTGCTGTGTGACTGTA